AATCCGTGGAATAATAAGGCTGAATCTGTGTATGAAACATGCCTGGATTGGGATCTAAATGCCACAATCAAATCCTTATAGGTGGAAATGATTCAGTGATGATTCTTTATCGTTATCGGTTATTCGCCGAACTATTCGCTTGTTGATTTGTACATGCATAAGTGTTGATTTGTGTCAGTGTGTAGGTACATCTACGTTATGTAAATGGAAAATTTCTATCAGTTTTGGACCATCTGAAAAAGAAAGTCAACCTCAAACTTTAGGTAACACATCTAGCACGAATCACCGGCAATGTGGTCGTACGAATCAACAATCACGAGCATACGGATCTACAAGAGTACATCGGTTCGTATGCACCGGACGCCACTGGGAAACTGGTCTTCGTTGAGGGTGCGCTTCTGAAGGCAGTTCGAGCGGGTAGTTGGGTGATTCTGGACGAATTGAATCTGGCACCGACGGATGTTATTGAGGCGTTGAATCGGGTTAGTGCTACTACCGCAAGCATTAATATTTCAGAGATTCCTTTGTTGTTTCATTGGTGGATGAATGGGCGATTTGTAACGTTGTTGATTTGAAAGAATTATGGTATCGTGGTTTTTTACTTTTCGTAGGAGAATACGAATCCGAAATGATTTTGGTGGAATGATGAAAAGTGATTTCGGAAGATTTTGTCAAGAGAAANAAGGTTGAATGATGTTATGTTTTACCCAATCATTTTGATATGTTCACACTTGGATCTAGTGGTTTTATTGTTGAAGTTGTTTATTCGTTGTTGTTATTAGTGAGGATGATCAAAAGCATTTACTGAGGTAGTATGGCGCATATTGGAGCAGTTATTCGAATTTGCTAATTGAAACAGGTTAACTCATTACGAAACGCATCAAATTCAAATGAATATAAATTTGCGAATGAATTGCAGTGAATTTCAGTCGTACGATTGCAAATTTGTGTGTGTATTTGTGGGTGAACGAGCAAGTTTATGGATGAAATGATGAGTGATTGATTGAAATCGAATGATGTTTATTGCAGTTATTGGACGATAATCGTGAATTGTTTGTATCCGAACTGAACAACACCGTGAAAGCACATCCATCGTTCCGGTTGTTCGCCACACAAAATCCGGTCTCAACCTATGCGGGACGAAAGCGTTTATCACGAGCGTTGGTCAATCGCTTTGTGGTGCTGAAATTTGAGCATCTTCCATTCGACGAACTGGCACAAATGGTGTGTGCAAGGTGAGACGTATTTGGAAATCTTCGATTCGGACGTGTTTTTTGTTTTATTGTTGTGGTGAGTTTTGTTTTCAAAAAGCAATGAGCGATAGAAAAGATTTTAGAAATTTAAATTTTAGGAATGAAAATTTGAGAGACTCAGCTAGTAAAATGAAATATTTTTATTTATTGTTAGGCATTTGGTCCGGTTTCTCACATAATTACGTAAATGGATTTTTCACGGTTTGATTCAGATGCGCTGTAGCACCATCTTCGGCCAACAAGATGGTGTCGGTGTTATGTGAGTTACGAGCTCAGCGAAGTCTGATGGGTGTTTTTTCGGCTCGAGACGGCCTGATGACGCTGCGAGACGTGTTTAGATGGGCGAAACGTCTAGCGAACTCGGACGCAACAGCAGATTGGCAACAGAGTCTGGCAGATCAGGGTTTGAAATTAGATTTTGTGAAGTTGGATTGGAATGTGATTGTAGCATTTAGTTGGTTTAGAACTGGATATTGTATAATTCGTATCATCTGAAGGGATGTATTTCATTGACGTTCGATAGTGGTGACGATTACGTGATTATGATTAGTTTTGATTATGATTATGACAATGATGGCAACAGAGTGAAATTGGATAGTAATTTTGAAAATTATCCGTTTTGTTCGAATAATCATATCTTGAAAGAGCAAGAAGTCTGTTGTGGCCGTTAGCAATCACGTATCGAATATAAGTGTGGTGCAGTCTGGGTTGATTGAGATTATTTAAGACGTCGTTTGATCAGAAATAGGCCAATAAAATGCAGCAGCAATGAAAATGGTGTCCTTCTAAGAGATAAATAATCTCGCATGACGAGAATGCAGCTGTCAGAATTTATTACGAGTTAGCAATTATCAGAATTCAGTTGTTTGATTGCAATTTTGTGATTTTTGTTTGATAGGTTTCTTCCTGCTGGCAGCACGATGTCGCAACTCCGTCGACGAGCAACTAGTCAAAGAGACACTCGAAAAGATTTTGAAACGTCGAATTGACGTCGATAAACTGTTTGCGATGGATTCACCGTATATGCCTGAATGGTTGAAGGACGATTGTATGGCTAATGAAAATGTAGTGTTAACTAAGGCTATGCGTAGAATGCTGGTGCTGTGTGCACAAGCATGGCATAACGATGAGCCGGTTCTGATGGTTGGAGAAACTGGAGGAGGGAAAACAACTGTGGCTGATCTGATTACGAAGGTATGATGCAGT